CCATGCATGTTTCTAAATATAAATTTAATCCAAATAAACATTGATATTAAAATATATATATAATAACAAATTCGTTACAATTACCATAAGGAGTGTCACTATGATTTAATGTATGATCAGTCACAGTAACTATTGAAAATGCGATCCTCCAGTGTTCAGAATTGCATTGCATCCACATGACAAAGGATATTAAAGCAATAATGTCCCTCTCCTCTAGTATGTTGACCAATTCCAGGATAATTCGGATTTAATCCAACATATTGATTTTGTATTAAAGTTCTTGGCAAGACTGGAAGTGCATGACTAATGGACTGTAGATATTTCATAGACTGATGAAGCATATTTCACAATTTCCGGAGGTGACAACACACGAAAATGTATTATATCGTCGAAATTTCCACACAACTCGATGATTCTTAGGTGTCAGTTAAGTGTTTTTTTAACCGTTGGATTTTTTATTAGATCATAATTTTTGAAGAACCATCAGCACATAGACTGTAAACCAATGTGACCAATGCTTGATATCCAATGTTCACAAATAATGCGACCCCCATGCTGATAGACTCCAGGTTTTTCATGTAAGATGGTACCTCGTGGCTTATTGGTAACCAGGTAAAATATGTCTTGTGGGTGCACTTTGAGTACATAATAATTTCTTGTCACTTGCTTCGTGAAAGACCACGTCAGTCACTAGTAGATTTCTCGCTGTAGGCATACATGAAGTCTTGCACAATTCCATACATCAACGATGCCGTTTTTATATAAGTAGTACGTACTCTGTATGAGTTGATACGAGGCTCTTAATACTGATGCTCACATCCCATTTGTTCTCCGTAGCACAAAATACAAACAAATTTGTACTGTCTGTCAAAAAAAAAGAGAAGGACGATACACAGGTGGCGATACATCCTCTATCGAAGGCACTTTAGTTCACATGCAGTATTTTTACCATGCTTTAGTGAACACAAATGTTTTTCATACCAAATGCTAATTGCATGAAATAGATTATTAGTATTTTTCAGCGATAATTCACACATATGTAAATAAATACGTAAGAATATATCTAAATAAAAACGATTTGTAAATGCTATTGCAGTGGCATTTTACTACAGTTATGAATTTTGGCGCGATGAGCGACATGTTAAACAGGTTTAAAACGTATATATTTGGTTCACGGATAACTTTCAACCAACAGTGCCTTGTGTCTAGGATGATTTGTGGCGGGATAAATATGTCACTGCCTTTCATAGGACCCCCCAGTGGCACAGCGGAATGTCTGCGAACTTACAACGCTACAAACTGGGTTTCGATACTCGTGGTGGGCAGAGTACAGATAGCCCAATGTGTAGCTTTGAGCTTATCTACAAACATTTCATAGGAAGGATATTTGTATAGAAATATTGTTAAATGATCTTGAGCCAAGTGACTCAATATTTTGATATAGGGAACCTTCAATGATCTCCATGGAGGCTGATGAACATGCACAACACAACATTTAGAATCAATTCAAACATTCGAAAAGAGAAGTTAAGGTTAAAAATGAACAATTTGACGGATACAAAAATTAAAACCCCATTAAGATTAAGCTAATATGTTTTATTTGGTTGTTAAGGGTATAATTATGAGGCAAATGTCACATGGCCATTGCAGCTCATTCAATCGAGAATAAACTGAAAAATGTGCAGAGAGGCAAGCCTCAGGTAATACTGTAGAGTGTATAAGATATGCAGAAGACATTGTTTCAGCATTGGTGTACACAGGTTCATAAAGACATTACAGCATACGGGTTACGATTATGATAACCCGTACAGCAGATAACTGACGCTATTGAAGCTATCGCTGAGAAGAGATGTGCTGTAGTATAACAAGCTGGGGTATACAAGCATATCATATGTTTTCTACCTGCTTTAGTAATATAGAAATCATATATTTAGTTAGTGTACAATTTTAGTACAGACAAGTGGTTCAGAAAGTCGTTGAAATTGCCTTATCCTAGTTGCTTTGTTCATTATATGAGATACAATGTCTGTTCTGATTCACAGGATGTTGTTCTAACATATAACATCTGGGTTGTAAGGATTAGCAGGTGTAATTTCTTCTGCTGGCCAATTTATCGTTGTCTAAATGTAACAGTCGACCAGTGCTGTGAGAGAACAAAGGTCACAAAATGCTACTGTCGACTAGACAAAGAAAGCGAATTTACTTGTTCATTTCAGGTGAATTTTTTCATTCAGTTCTACTAAAAGATCATTCAGTAAAGACTTGCTTCAACATCACCATGTTTAGTTCAAAGGAAGACGATTTTATGAGAAAGAAAGCTATGGAGGCTAAACACATTCTAGTAGAAGTGACTGCCTATTTGTGTGTGCAAGAATGAATGCTGCATTTTCTTTTTGTTTCTTGAATAACAAAGATTGTTTTCATTTATACCAAATTTGCTCAATCTCATTATTTGAAACACACACTACGTAAACTCAGTTAAGTTATCAGATTCATTATTATTCCCGTTATTTTCTTAGCGAATCTGTTGTTATTAGTGTGTCTGTTTATGTGATACTTGCCAGAAAATCTGCTTTTACTTCAAATTACTACAAAGCCAGCGCAAGTGAACGTTGGCGAAGCAGTGCACATTATGTTGTATGGTGTCTGGATTTACCAATTTCAGCCGTTTGTATGGCTTTTCGGTCAACTTTATGAAAGTTTCCTCACAAACTGCATATTGTTTTAGTACTGATGGAGAGTATTTTCTTGTTCGAAGCTTTTCTAAATAATTAGAATGGATAATGTTGAAGTGTAAGTTTAGCGTGGCCTGTTTGGTATTGACAGAAAAGAGTTTTGTTCAATTTACACTTTATGATGGATTACATCATTTATATCAATGAAAGTAAAATTGTGAAAAGTAATCATTTTTGCTTCTTCGTTTCATTCATAAATCAAATTTCCATGATTTTGTCGCAACAGTAATTTTACTCATGGTAGTCGGAGGACAAGTCATGAAATACGCTAAGTCTGACAGCTTATAATGCTAAAAACTGGGTTTCAATACCTGTGGTGGGCACAGCACAGATAGCCACATCTACTTTCTTAGTTGTTATCTAAATATGTATTTTTGCAATAAAACGTTATAAGGTTCTTTCCCCTCTTTACTTGTATATAACTTATCTAAGAAAAAATATTTAAGTATATTTTATTTCCCATTTCATTCTATAATTGAAATGTGAAAAACAAAAATAAGAAACACTATAATCCGTTTGGACAAGACGGCAAAACACGTCGCGCCGGTGCTGAACCTGCGTGTTTTGTTAACATCATGAACAGTTTTATTCTTGTTTAAAGTTACACAATATAGTGGTTTTATTTTTTATTAGGAGGCATAAAGCTGGTTACTGGTACAGTTGGGTTTTGTATTCTAGTTCACACAAAAAAACAATGATTTCTTATATGGTATCAAAAATCCTTAATTTTTTATTCTAGTTTTAGCTTCCGTGTCTGAACCCTTACGCACGTTCTACTTTGAATATCTACATCCTTAATGTTGTTTGTGTTTTGTTTGTTTGTTTTTTGTTTTATTCTTTTTATTTATTTGGAATGAAAGGCGTAATGTCAGTTTGTTTTGTTGAATTTCGCACAAACATCTCGAGAGTTATATGTGCTACAGATCCATAATTCAGAAGTGATAGACTAGAGGGTAGATAGCTAGTCAACACCATAGCCAACTCTTGTGCTAATCTAATCCATTTCTCATTAACAAAGCCAACGTGAGTATCATCTTGTTCTTCTCATACTTCTGTAGCTATAAGATGTATGGTCTGATATCCCACTGTTAGACTTATGTCCTTAACTGCACGTAATAAACTATGTACATTACCTAATAATTAGTGTAACCCTAAGGACTGGTGCCAGCAACAGTAAACTAGTGAGATGGAACACTGCGTATCAAATAACCAGAACCATCATCATCGCTACACTGGTGACACTTGTACTCACTATAGTATCCCAACGAAGTATACTATATCTCTATTATGACAATAATATTATTTGAAAACAATGATTATAAAGCCAAGAAACTACTTTGTATAACACATGTATTTTATTTTATTTTCATGTTTAAAAAAAATATAAGCAGAGAAATAAAACATAAGCACACACATACAACACTAAACGTACAAATTGAGCTTATTTTCCGGAATTGTATATTCAGTTATTCCGTACCGGTTTGGTTCAACTCACAACGTGTTATCTTAAGCATGAATCATCTTTTGTAAGCTGCAATGGATGAAGATTTTTTCCCACCAGGTACTTTAAATTTGTTTGCGATAAACAGAAACGCTGTTTGCTTAACTTAGTGTCATATTTAACGTCCTCTTGTTTAGTAAACATAATATCTGTTTTATAGTTAGCGTTTGTTTTATATTAAAATTCGACATGAATACGATCAACTTTAAAGTGAAGTTTCTTTGACCAATCACAGTCTCATATTAGATCATTCTTTGTACACTTCCAGGAGGTGATCACGTGACCATTTGGCTGGCTACGAGGTAAGGTATGCAAATTGAACTTGTTATTCGTTGACAGCAGTGAGTGAAAGTAGTAATTGGTAAGTTTCTCATTACAGCTTTTTTACTCTTTCCAAGTGAGTCACATATTATTTTTAAGTTTGTTTACTGCTATTATGAGAATTGTTAGATTTTCTGCGCAAATATTTAACAAAAAGTATTTCATTAAGCAACTGCTGTGGGGCTTCATAAATATTCAGTTAAACCGGTTATGTGTTTGGTTTATTCAGTTTTTCGGTAACTTCGTGTCCATTATTATTTTACCTTTGTAATAACTGCAGATTTTACTGTGATATGTTTCCGTGTAATTTTACTTGAATTGGTTTGTAGGTTTCTTAATTCTATTTTGTAAACCTATTACGATCATGTTTTCTTTATATTTTTATAGTCTTTTTTTACCACTGTTTTCGCAGTTGCCTTTTCTTCACGGTCATTCAGTAGTGGAGACTCCCACGATGCAGATTTGCATAAAGTTTCAGATGTTTAAAAACTTGATTAACACAACAGCACTGTACATTCGATGCTATTAACTAACGAGACTTCTGTACCTGTCTTTAAGACACTAGCCTACCAAAGCTGAGTTTCATTGAAGAGACAAATAGGTTTGGTTTGGTTTGTTCTGAATTTCGGGCAAAGCTACACGAGGGCTATCTGCGCTAACCGTTCCCAATTTAGCAGTGTAAGAGTAGAGGGTAGGAATACTGTACGAGTCATCAAGAAAAGTTTTGAGGAAAACAGTTGCTTTATACTACGTTTTACTCTTCTTTGTAAAGAAATGGGACTGGAATATTCTTCTCCACAGGAAGTTGTTAGTTGTCAGCAGTAAAGATTTCAGCCGTGGGAGTGTTATAATGTACGGTCAATCCCACTATTCGTTGGTAAAAAAGTAGTCCAAGATTTGGCGGTGGGTGGTGATGACTAGCAATGGGATATTTGTATTGTACCCACAACGGGTATCGAAACCCGATTTTTAGCGTTATAAGCCTTCAGACTTACTGGTGAAGTACTGGGAGGCTTTGAACTATCCGAAGAATGCAAAAACGCATGTTAGGTATTATCTATAGTTTGTTGAGGTTAAAGCATTAATTAATAAGTTACCATTTATTAACTCAAAGTTTGTATTTTCTTATAACTCCATCACAAACAAGGAATGTTTATCACAGTGTTATAGCGTACCGTATCGTTAAATGATGACATTTCCTTTAAAGGGCGTTATTCTAGTTTTTGTGCTGGGCATTGATTTTATACAAAATATTTTGTACTATATTTAGGCACAAAATCACACAAGAATTTTAATTAATCCTCACCTATATACTTTCTAGTTAAGAACTGTAGCACAAAAACTACTAGATAGTCACATTAATACATCCTTATTAGCCCCTCAGCGGTAAGTCAGGAGGCTTATAAATAAAAACTGGGTTTCGATACCCGTAGTGAGCACAGCACAGATAGTTTATTGTGCAGCTTTGTGGTTAGTAACAAACAAGAGGCAATAAAATAACCTTTTATTTATTAATTAGAAAAAAATATCATTACTATGTTTTACAAAAACACCTTTGATAAAAAGTGATATAACACGATTAATTTACAGATTTTATTTCCACGTATAATAATGTTTTTGTTACCTATCTTATGAATTTCTCTATACGATTAATGATTCCTGTTACAAGGAAATTATTTAATGCTGTGCTGTAAAATATGGGATTCCATTTGTCGCGGTAGACATAGCACAGATAGTTGTGTAACTTTGCGTTAAAACAACAACAGTAACCATCGCCACAGTATTCAATTTCATATCACAAATTATAAAGTATCCAAACAAAAAGACATTAGATGCCTGAAATAATTTTTTTCCAGTTTCTAGCAATAATATAATAAGTTGATATTCATACAGGTGTATCAGTGTTAATCGGCTTGTATAGTTTTCAGCTTACCAACAAACAAATAAACTAGATGTACACTTTATAAAGGGAAAATAAATGGCACCCTTGGTTTAATGTCAAACTTAAAAAGCACGATTAAAGTAGCCAATAAAGTTAGTTAATTTTATCTCTAATATTTAAGAGAATCAGCCACTTATTTCGTTAATATAATTCCGTGGAGCGATTATTGTAATCAAAATAGCCTAACGATATTAATGTACTATAATCATAAAAACGATTTAGAAATCGATATTTACCGAACACATATCTCTGCAGCAAGCAATAGCAACCTATCTTCCAATAAACTTTTCGTAAACAATGATAGTGTTCGGTAAACAGGCCAGTGTGACCTGACATTTTAGATATTTACTGTTTCTTTAACTTCCAGAATAACCTCATAATGATGGGTTTTCTTGACTTAGACTTTTAGATCTTCCACTTCATATTTCGTTTCGTCATTTAAAGCTTCAGTTTCTACGCAAAATGAATTCTTGATAGAGATTCTAGCGATCCGCTAATAT